TTTCACCGCAGTACCAGTTATTATGGCTGAGAAGTAAATGAATAAGATCAGCAGGTACAGACAGACAACACTGGAAAAAGCCTAGTTTTTTTACATAGTAGAGTCTTAGTTTAGCTGTGAGGGTGTCGAGGGAACATCCTTTGTTTGTCTTTGTTTAGTCTTTCAACAAAGAAACCAACTCACAGGAGCAAAAGCGAGAGAGAGTTGGTTGCAAATTTCTTTAACTACATTTCAAGGGAATTTAAAAAATAAATTCAACTGATAAGAGTTGTATGAATTAAATCACAGTAGAAAACAGTTGTGCTGCAATACATGTGAAAAATTGTTGTACATGTTTTTCGAGATTTTTTGATAAATAGAAAGTTCAAAAGAATAGCATTTGTTTAAAAAAAAAAACAGTTTTTTGAATGGTAGTGTAGGCTATAACATCAGATACATGCTTTGGTTATTTGTTGTTGTCAGTCACTAATAATTTTATGTCTGTCAACCTCTTTTAGAATATGAATAATTGCAGGAAATTTGGACATTGTGTGATCGAATAAGTGTTTGAGAAGAGAAGAAAGAATAAATACATCTAATACAACCAAAGAAAGCTAAGACTATAATATTTGCTATCATTATCTGTCACTCTGATTTCAGGCATTACTCAAGGCCATCGAAGGGCATTGACTTTGACTTTGGTTACCTGCCCATTGTTTGATCCGCTCCTGTTTGCTACTGAACGTTAAACCTTACAGCAAACATTGTTGGCGATCCCAAATGCTATGTGCAAACGTAAAGATTAAATTATCTCTATTTGAGAGCAGTCGAGCATGCATAAAAACGGTTTCTTGTTGAATTTATAGCCTGACTAGCATCATACCACATATACAGCCTCATACCCACTGCCCACTTCACACACAGAGCCCCAACACGCCACATTACACAGAATACACAGCATCTGAACCGGAACTAGAGTGATATAATTCTCTTGTGTAATAATCAGCAGTCCTTTTTTTCATCATTCCCTTGGGTCTGTTAAACATCCTTTTCTGTTTTTGAATGTCATACTGAAAGTTAAGCAAACTTGGGTGTGGGGAAGATGTGTGTCATAAAACTATGAAATAAGTATACGTGTCCTTATATTTACATGTATATATTTGTGACCCTGGACCACAAAACCAGTCATAAGGGTCAATTTTTCGAAATTGACATTTATACATCATCTGAAAGTTGAATAAATAAGCTTTCATAGGACAATATTTGGCCGAGATACAACTATTTGAAAATCTGGAATCTGAGGGTGCAGAAAAATCTAAATATTGAGAAAATCGCCTTTAAAGATGTCCAAATGAAGTTCTTAGCAATGCATATTACTAATCAAAAATTAAGTTTTAATATATTTACAGTAGAAAATTTACAAAATATCTTCATGGAACATGATCTTTACTTAATGTCCTAATGATTTTTGGCATAAAAGAAATATCAATCATTTTGACCCATACAATGTATTTTTGGCTATTGCTACAAATATACCCCAGCGACTTAAGACTGGTTTTGTGGTCCAGGGTAACATTTGGCCAATCATTGGGAGTCAAACCTGTGTTCTTTGTCATTGATGACACTGTTCTCTTCTGTTTAAGAAAAATCATTTACTCATTTACTTTATAAAGGTAATTTTATTTGCTGAGATACTTTCGCCATAATTCTGAATGTATGGAATCTATTTAGTTTCCCAGTATGGAAAAGAGCATCTTGAACATTGTGCTAAATTTCTCCTTTTGTGTTTGACGGTGGTAAGATGGCCATACTGGTTTAGAACAGCATGATGATAAGTAAATGATGGAATGTTCAAATGAAGTAATTTAGCAAACTATTCCTCTAGCCATTTCCATAAATCCAACCAAACCGGTTTTGCATTTGTTTCTTGATGCTTATCTGACGTTTTTTTTTTTTTTTTACTTTTTCCTTTCCTTTCATTATAACTAAGCAAATCTTAAAGTAGCTAATAGCATCAGACATGAAGCAAATAAGAATTATAATCCATTAGTTGGTAAAATACTGTAGACTGATTTGATATGGACGTCCCTGACAATCTAAATTCTTGGCTATGAAATTTGGACAGGTGCTGTCTAGTGATTTTGATTATGGTATATATCAAAAGTCATTTTAAGATGAAAAACGAAGTGGTTGCCGGTAGTTTAGTTGTTACCATGTATGTAAAATTAGCATCTATCATTGTCCAGGGTACCGGTTATTTAAAAACTCACTGCTTTACGTCAGAATGATGTTGTTGCAATATTAGATCAAGTGAGTATATTCTACAACTGTTCATTTTTCACCAAACATGCCCTTTTGAGACATCCTATCTGTGACAACTGAGCAAGCTTATAGCCTAGGCATCTCTCTCTGTGTTGAAGAATTTGATTTACAGATGTTTTTGTAAAAAGAACTTTAAAACAGTCATGTGTTATATTTTATTGGACACATTAAAAATGATCCTCAATTGTTAACTAATTTTTAAACAAAGTACATTAAGGTGTGATTCACTGAGTGTGTTTATGCAGCTTTTTTGGGCAGTGAAATAGACATAAACGCAAAAAGAATGTTCTCTAAAAGTTAAACTACTTTTACTTTAGCTTCATGTTTTTCAAATGCTGTGTCATGCGCAGGTTGCAAGATGCGAGCACAACCGTCAAACACGTCTGACTAGCGTATATTTAAATGTTGTTTGTTAAAACTTCCTGAAACTCTTCATAATACTACTTTGTACTGCATCACCACTAACCAAATTGCCTAATTGGTCAACATATTTGCAGTGCAAGTTTTTGATTATTTAGCATTCATCAGCTTTTAATTGGCTCTGCCAAATGTTTATGAGGTGATAACTTTGCCTTACCCATTCAGAAAACGCTGCACAGGCCCATTTATGACCAATGTGTTTTATGAATGATTGCACAGCAGGTAGTGTTTTTTGCTGGTTCTCTTTGTTATGTTCAGTTTTAGTGGTGAACTCCCCGTTCACATTCCCTTTGTTTGTTTCATTGTTCTTAGTATAAAGACATTGATGTGCATATGTGTGTATATATTTTTTCTTTTCAAAGATCACCTTTGTTCATGTTCAAAGGTTATGGAGTACTGCTCTACAATCAGTGGTTGCAAACAGTAGGGAGGGAGAAGCCCACAGTGACGTAGAAATACCTAGGCACACTAGATAAAACCAAACAGTGATTTGTAATTCAAGTCTCCTGGGCTTTGTAATGAAAGGCCAAGTGCAATGTGAGATAACTCTGAATTAAACTTCAAGGACATGCATTTAGAACTATTTATTTTTCATAGAGTGATTTTTGCTGAATTGTATTGAATCCAATTACAGTTAATTTATCCCCATTTTTTAACCCAATACAGGGGTTCAAGGTGTTCTCTCTTTTCTCTATTCAATTCTGTATTATAGTTTGTCTTCTCTCTCTTTCTCTCAGCTCGGATGGTATTGTATCAGAGGCTGTGACAGTGCAGGTCGGCCATGCTGAGACGCTGTTACCCCTTCTCACCCTGCTGGATCTGTTCAAGGATGACATCCCTCTCAGCTCAACTAACTTTGCAACCCAGCACAACAGAATATTTCGAAGTGGGAAGATTGTGCCGTACGCTGCCAACCTGCTGGTAGTGCTGTATAAATGTCCAGAGGGGATTAGGATGGGTGTGCGACTCAATGAGAAATCTTTGACCTTGCCTGGACTCACCGACCCCGTTCCAATGTATGAGGATGTGAAGAAACGCTACCGTGCTCTGCTAGAGGGTTGTGACCAAGAGACTGTGTGTAAAATTAACAATTCATGAACATAAAAGTGCAACACATCACAACGGCCAGCAGACTGACATTTTCATAGAAGCAACAACCAGCAAAAAAGAAAACAGAATGTTTTTTTTTTGTTATGCAACATTTCACTGTTGATAGAACAATAAATGAAAGAAAAAGATTTTATATATAATAATTTTATATAAATATAACTAAATTTAACCCCACAGTGTTACTTAGGAATGTTATGGACCAGTAAAGAGAGCTAAAATGTCAAAGCTGACAAATCAGCTCTGACCAACCATCCAATCAAATAACCACATTTGACATTTCACATGCAAAATATTTACAGTGTCATTTAGAAAAGGTCTTTAGTTTTTTTTTTTTATCATAAAAAATTGCTGCTGAATTTCTAAGCAATGAACCAGCAATTGTACTTTGTTTACATGACTGAGTTGTATATTGCTGGTTTTGGTAGAGAGTCCAGAGGCCTCTGTTGCTTGCTTATACAGTATTTTTGTTAATGCTTTAGTATATATAATCTATTCAGACCAAAGATTATTTAAATACCCAGTATATAAGGTCTAATCTAATTTTATTCGAGTTTGATGCTAATTTTATTATATAAAAAAATACAAATAATATATTTATATATATATGGAATATATTTTTATTAATATATATATATATATGGAAATTAATCAAATCAAGCCATGGAAATGTCTGTAGTGAATATAATTTTTTTTGTAGTTGTGCTCAACTCTCTATTACCCAAACTAGAATTACTCTGTGAATGCAATTACTTATTGTTACTTGATGTCAAAAATTACATTTATTTTTGTCCGTTAATCAGGAAGGGCTGGAAATAAAAAACTCAATGGACAACAGGTGTGTGGGAACCGTGAAATGATTTTATATGTTGTATGATTTGTCAGTTTGTTATGCAAGTACAATAAATTGGACCTTGGGAACAAACTTGTTTCCAAGTTTAGTTTTCTTATGATAGATAGATAGATAGATAGATAGATAGATAGATAGAGAAGCAATTTAAGAAGAGAAAGTCATACAGAAATTCCTTAAAAAAGTCGACTCCTTGAATGTCATTAAATCATTTGCACTCTGCCCAAAAATCCTTTTAATTTTAGACATGAACGCAGAACAAGGGGTTCTTTTTCTCCCACATCCTTCTCTCCCGCCCCCTCTGTCCCGTAGCTCATGATCCCTTCTCCTCGATGCCTTACAGTCTCATACCGGTACACTGCTCTCCATTCAGCCGTATGCAGATTTTGAGTCCCGGGAGGTGGGACGAGGGCAGGGCCGTTGGAATGCGACGTGTCCCGCGACACTCTTAAAAACACTTCTCTTTCCGCGTCTCCACAAACCACCTTCAAGAAGTTCACCTGCGAGTTGAATCCGCCCCGCCTCCGAGCGAAGGTCCAAACCCGAGCGCACTTCACCGGAGCGAGATGCCTGGAAACGCAACACCAAAACCGGTGAGATTAGACAGAAAGCCCGGAGCAAAACTTCTCTGTAGTGGATTGTTTATTTTGTCAGGGCTGTATTGTCGTCTTTGGCGTTCCTCAGGCATTCGGTGTGTTTTACAGGGGATGTCTGAGATGCATGGAACTGGGGTTCTAAGAAATGTCATAACTTTTTTTTTCATGTGTTATATAACTGACTGCGATCATTTGGGGAGATACTGGGCAAGCGCTCTTCTGCAAGTCAGTGTAAGGCTAGACATAGGCTACTGGCTTTAAAAAATAACTAGAAAAAACTAGTTAATTAAGAGGGCATAACAAATACGAAAACTAATTAAAAATTATGAATAAAAAATTATGAATACTAAGCAAAAAATATGACTATAGTTTTCACTCGTTTTGACTACAGAAGTTCTACACTCTAAAAAATGCTGGGTTGTTTCAACCCAATTTTGGGTCAAATATGGACTAACCCAACTGTTGGGTTAAAAAGTTAATTTAAAAAAATTAAACCAAAATTTAACCCAACAGTTGGGTTAGTCCATATTTGACCCAACATTGGGTTGAAACAACCCAGCATTTTTTAGAGTGTACTACACTACTGAATTAGCTACAGTTCATTGAACACATGCTGTCCTTGTTGCACAATTGTCACAATGGAAACTTGCCATTAAAGGGGTCCTATTATGCTTTTTCACTTTTTCAACTTTAGTTAGTCTGTAATGTTGCTGTTTGAGCATAACAAAAGTTCTGCAAAGTTACAAAGCTCAAAGTCCAATTCAAAAGGAGATATTTTATTTAACAGAACTACAACGAACGACTCGTTTGAACTACAACGCATATTTTCTGGGATTTGTGATATCACAAATATCGACGAATGGGACGAGACCTGGTTGAGCTGCACTAGAGAAGGCAACGAGTGTTATCACTATGTCGGAGACACGCTAGCTTTCCCAAGGCAGACGAACTTAGAGTGGTTACAATCATCCGGGTTTAAATCGCGCTCAAATTGATTTGATTTTGAGCAATATTTACACTGAAGTTGGCAGGCGGCTATGGTAAGGGGCATGACATTTCCCGACCAGGCGCAGAGTGGTGCCAATTACCAACACACACTGGCCCAGCTAACCAATCACAGCACACACTGGCCCAGC